TCAGCTTCAATCAACTATGAGGTTTGGCCCTCTATTAATTTTTTGATTTGAGATTTATCTAATCAATCTATGTTGTAGACAAAGAATAATACAATGGAGATTCATCCTAGGTCGCACTGAACTTGCCACAAGCCTGAACCGGAGACTTTCTGGAGCAAATTCCCCATAATCGCAAAATTTTTGAAAAGTCCCCTTTGGCTTTTTGGAGCTCTCTCACTATCTTCTAGGATGAATACCAAAGATGAAGCTATAGTGCGGTTCATACTTACACGAACACCCCAAATTTTAGAAATTTCTGAACTATATGAAAGAAACCGAAAAGCCGTTGGTACTACGCGAAAGAGCACAGCCGAAAACGGTATACGATCCACAAGAATGGAAATCGACTTCAATCTTGTTTAGTGTTTTTGCGCCTAATGCGAATTTTGAGCGATTCATAATTATACGAACACCTCAAACAAAAGTCCACTTTTCATTCGCGAGTGCAATCTTTTGTGTCCAAATTTTTTTAGAGTTGCAGTAACAAAGTCTGACATATCTGCTACACACTGAACCCAGTGCAGTTCAAAAAGAGGAGCGTTACTTATTTCAGATGGCTCTAAATGATCCGTAGTCATTGCGCTCCAAAAACGTCCGTTTTTTGTGGTTTACGGACTCTAACTAGTTTTTACCAAGTCTACGGGATAAAATAAGCTTTTTCGATAGATATTTTGTTGGCGCTCGGAAAATCTTTACATTTTTGTGCCGTTTTCAAACAAGTTCCACCTTACCCTAGAGTTGGCATGATTTTGAGCCTCAAAATTCAGCTACTCAGGTATCTATCGTATTTTAGGCAAAAATGTCTGAAAATCCGGGATTTCTAGCCATCTACCGTATAGCAACCGTAACCCGAGAAAATGACACTATCGTACGAAATGATTATGGTTTTCACGTTCAGCGTACCAAGTAAACCCCGCAGACGAACTTTCGGACAAATCCGTGATTTTCACCTCCTGCCGTAATCTACCGTAACTCCACCAGATGGCACTACGGCGCGAAATAAGTGTGACATTTGTGATCAGCGTGCAAAAAAACAGTCCTAGACGAAATTTCAGCGAAATCCGCGATTTTCATTTTTGGGTCAACTAATGTGGTGCAGTACCAAATAGTCTTTATCGTTGAGCAGAAGTGCCAGCTAGATGGCGCACTTCATATGTTACACCAATACCGAAAAAGAAACCGTATAGTTCTGCAAAAAACTTTCGACCTGTTCGTATTACTTCTATATTTGCCAGACTTTTTGAGAAGATATTGAAGAAACATATAGTCAAACATTTGAAGAAATACAAGAACATCTCATCGTTTCAACATGGATTTCAAAGTGGTAAATTTACCACTACAGCTATGCTCCAATCTCTAAATGATTGGACACAAAATTTCGATAACGGACTTAATACTGACATAATTTATCTCGATTTTACCAAGGCTTTTGATAGAGTACCTCATGTTAAATTATTGCAAAAGTTAAACATGGTCGGTATACATCCTCGCATTACCGCCTGTATCAATGCCTTCCTTACGGACAGGTCTTTTTCGGTTCGAGTCAATCCTTCATTTTCCAAACCTCGTAAGATGCACAGTGGAGTCCCACAGGGGGAGTCCTCTCTCCTGTGCTGTTCAACATTTATACGTTTGAGCTACCAACTATTCCACTTGACCTGGGGGTTTCTTGTAGTGCATTCGCAGATTACTTCAAGCTGTATGCTGTTGTAGGGGAGGATGTGTCTGGTTATAATGTGTTGCAAAAAGCCCTCGATCAAGTTTATAACTGGTCAAATGATTGGTCATTGCCCATTTCCAGGGAAAAAACTAAGGTGATCCATGTTGGACCGAGAAACTGCAATCCAAAGTTTAAGTATCCTGTGGGGGACTCTTATCTCCAATAAGTCAACTCAATAAGGGATCTAGGGTCCATAGTTAAGAGTAACCTCACTTTTGATGAACACTGTGAAATGATTGCAGACAAAGCCACAAGAACGGTCTATAATTTGTTTAGAGCATTTGAAAATAAAGATACAGCTGTCTTCTTGCAAGCGTATAAGTCGTTCATAAGACCCATGTTGGAATATGGTACCGTGATTTACAATCCATATTTGTGCAAAACAATAAACTATATCGAGAAAGTTCAGAACAATTTCACTCGTAAACTTCTCATACGCAAAACAGGTTTTCACTACGATCTCATTCCAAACGTAACATCCGGAATACAAATTTAGGGCTCTCCTCACTCGCCTACAGAAGGCGCAAATTTGATCTTGTGATGGCTCATAAGATTGCATATGGTACATGTGGCTTAGAATTCAAAAAGTTCTTAACAACCAGAGCATCCAGTACAAGGGGAGGTAGTAGAAAGCTCATTATCCCTAGAGCCAGGTTAAAGCTACGCAAGAAATTCTTCACATGCCGTATCGTTCAGGACATTGATAGGCTTTTGAGACGGCATTTGTTCCCTGCAAAGTTATCCCATTTTAAAGGCAGTAGGTCGGCAGAATGAGACCCGTAGCAAAACAAGGTCACAGGGTAAGAGCCCCCATAATAGAACCTATGGGCCAAGGTTCGATCTTGTTCTGCCATTTCTAACCCCCGAAATTTCAAAGCGAAAGTAGCGCTCATTCCCTGTCCTCTCCGAACCCGCCCACCCCATGGACGAGTGAACGCGAAGCCCGTCATGGCGAAGACGCAGAGTCGTTGCGGGACCTCATGCTTATAGCATTGCGGCTGGCGCTCTGACCGCGGAAGTCACTCGTCCATGGGGTGGGCGGGTTCGGAGAGGATGGAGATGAGCGCTGCTTTCGCTTTGAAATTTCGGGGGTTAGAAGTGGCAGAGAAAGACCGAACTTTGGCCCATAGGTTCCATTATGGGGCTCCTATCCTGTGACTGACCTTGTTTTGCCACAGGTCTCATTCTGCCGACCCACTGTTAAGGCTGTTCTCAGGAAGTATCTGCAGTCCAGTGATAGCTAATTCTGATCTACTTGTTCTTTCACATGATATTACAATTTACGAGTTGTTGTGCCATTAACTCTGATCTTCCATTGAGTTCAGGTGATCTTTGATATTTATGTGTAGTTGTTGTGGTTTTTTGTTGATGTTTTATAGTTCGCGTTGTTGAAACATAGGGTTATGCCTATGAATAAATGAAAATGAAAGAAATGAAAAATGAGTATGCTGTTTGAGGGGTGAAAAACCGGTGGGGAAACAAACTTGCCAGTTCCAATCGCCTCCGCGGGCTATGGTCCTCCAATGACATGCAGCAATAGTGCAAAAGGCAGTCGTCAGCGAAGGATGGCTCAAACGGAAGCGGAATTCGTTCCCCTACCCCGTGAAAAACACTATTTACTCGTTGCTTTCATCCAAGTCTCAACCTTGAGCTAGAGTTATCCGTCTACCAGATTTCAAAGCAAATGCTGTTTCTGAGAACAAGCGCGCACTTGTTTACGGTCAAGTCATCTGCGACTCTTTCTGAGGGTTTACGCAATCCATGCGGGACCGTATGACTCATTCACAAATCGTCAACAGAACCAGTTCTATGCCGACAAACACCTGCAGCGAATAGTACACATGCAACACTACAAGCACAAAAAGAAGAAAACTACGAATTTCCTTCAAAAAATAGCCCGGCTACAAGCACACCCGTCTCGAGGTAGCACCAATATAACATATGAGTAAAATGACTCGGCGTAGGGGAGTGAATACGACATCTTTGTCTGAATACGATATCCCACTTACCCATGTCCCAGCCGTGCCTTGGTCGCAAGTAATGACAGTCCCCACCCCTTCCAATTCTCACTCATGACCTCAACCAACTTGCACTATATCACTTTTTCGAAAGCTTTCTCCCCCCCCCCCTCGCCATTACTTGCGACCGAGGCACGGTTGGGACATGGGTAAGCGGGATATCGTTTACAGAAAACAATGTCGTATTTACTCGCCTACACCGAGTCATTTTACTCATATTTTATACTGGCGCTGCCTCGAGGCAGCTGTGCTTGTGGCCGGGATAATTTTCGAAAGAAGTTTGTCTCCCCCCCCCCCCCCCAAGATGATTAAGCCTTCCTTCAAGTCTGTATAACACAAAGTTGTTTCTTTATCAATCAAGTGATTAATCCATTCGTTTAGAATACTCCAGGAATATTTTTAGATGAAATTAAATCGCAAGTTCATAGGAACAAGCAATCCTCATCTTTCTACTGCTCCCTTTAACACGTTGACGACCTTGTGTATCCGCGCGTATGCACGCCCTGACTCCCGATTAGCATTTTCGTGCATCCGCGCATATGCACGCTAGTTTTTTAAGTGCAAAGGAAAAGTTTTAAAGTAACTTCTATGCAGTAATACTACTAGTGGCCTGATTGTCTTACAGAACACAGGGCATCGCGGCAGCTGTTCAGAAGATTTAACCGCAAAATTGGGTAATGAGTCCGTTTTTGATGTAGACAATACATGCTAATTACGTATTTCCGAGAAGGTAAAAACTCTGTACAGCTGTTTTAAAACCAAACAAGGATGAATCAGTCAAAAACACTAACTATTACAACGCTTTTCTCAAAGAGGGATTCCTCAGATATAGCCATTGCATAGTTTATTGGAGGGGAAATCGATGCAAAAACCTTGATTTGTGTAAGTCCTGGTAATTCTCTGTGATATACCTGTATGTCTAAACATAGCTCGCATATTTTATGCATAAGTGCCAAAAAGACTCCCACATAATGTTTTCGTGCATCCGCGCGTATGCACGGGCCAAATGCGCGAAGGACGTTAGTGTGAGTTTCGCCCAAAACGGCGCGGTCGTCAACGTGTTAACTGAGACTTTTTTGAAAGAGATGCATTTTTATTGCAAAATCTCATGGTTTGCCGAACATACGAGTGCAAACAGTGCAATGCTACTTGCAACTTGTTTTTTTCGATGTTTCAAAGCAGACTCAAAGCAGACTGAATTCACTACGAACACACATTTTCAGTGCCAAAAGAGACAAGACGCTGCCTGTTTGTTGGAGATCTCTTGAACTTTGATAGAAGAGTTCCAGATTATGAGAAGGTGATTCTCAGACTTTACAAGATTGCTGTTTCATCTGCTTACGATGAAATTTCTCAGTAGAGAGTTCTTTCATTCTCTCAGTGAAAACTCAGATAAGCGTTAGAATTACCATCTCATGGACATGTGATATTGATGCCTTGATTGTATCAGTTAAGGAAATGGAATTCATCGCCAAGATTGGCTACGAACTTCTCAATCGTGGAGTGGACGCTGAAGGAGCAATTTGGGCATACGGATTTACAAACGCTCCTGAACCAGAGGAGAAACTCAAGAACATGACTAAGAAGATTGCGAAACTGCAATCTGACATCAAGAGCACAATGACTTATGTGGATCGATACAAGCCGAATTACAGTAACAAACAGTCAGTTGTCCCTATACTTACTTTTTGTGAATATAACACATTAATTATACGTCATTCATTGTATGGCAAAGACCTGGACGTCGTTGCGTGCGACTAACTTGGGAAGTACTTTAGTGTCCCTGACCGTATATGCGTACTGGCTGAAGCTTTTTAGACGTTGATTCCAAATCTACATTCCGTTCCTGTGGAGCGCCTTCCTGAAAAGAGAGGCGTAGAAATCCCGTTTGAGGGGGCGAGAAATCAAAAGTTCGAAACCGGTGGAGTGTTCCTATCACATGCGGTTGTGCCAAAAAATTTCTTTTTCGGGTCAGTTATGTCCAAAACTTGGCTGTAAGTGTCTGCAGACGGTTACAATGCATATATAATCCATACACAAAGTACAAAAGGGTTATTCCCCAGCTGATTCGAACGAGTGACCTCTCGCCCCTAATGCGAGCACATTAAACACTAAAACACTGCATAACCAACATTTACAGCAGTGTCCCCAAACTCAAAAAGAGCGTAAAAGCCTTTAGGTTTTCATAACTTCTTTCAAAAGCGTTCCGCAGAAATGGAATGCAGATTTATAATCAGCATTCGAAGGTGCTTTAGCCGAAGTGCCTCTTATATAAAAAGATCACGGCCATCAAAAATACTTCCTTTGCAAGATAGTTCGTGCATGAAAGAGACAGCGGACGGCAAGAGCAATGAAAGAGCGTTCAATCAGCGACACGCCGACAGCGTCCGTAGTGACGCTTTGTCTTTGTGTGCGATGAATGGCCTATACATTGAAATACAATATCTAGTGGAAGGGCTTGTGCCATGAACGCGGCATTTTATTCGAAAAAAAAAACGAAGCCCTACAGACTGTGTTCTGAGGTTCTTCAATTTTGAAAGCTGTCTTGTCAAATGTAAAGAATCTCAACAGCTTTAGTGGAGTTGAGCATGGCACATTTTGGTCGAAAAAACCGCGGGATAGGAAAATCTTTGCATTCTCTTCCACTCCTTTTGAAAGCGATCAACAGTAGGAAAGACCAAAATATTTTCGTCATAATTAGCTGGCCTGTATCAAACGAGAATATTTCTCAAGAAGTAACAGCATAGGGATGCTAGTAGATAAAAGAAGGAAATAAGTTGTTTAAAAAAGAAGTATACTATGCTGAATGCTTTAACGAGCAACACCTCGAAAGCGGTTCATCGCGTTGCGTGTACGTAGAGGGAGCGCAAGTGAAAAGTAACTTACAAGGTATAGTCAGAAGTCAAGGTGGCCAATCCAAACAAGCTGCACACCATTCGATGCAGCATAGAATGCTGATCAAATCTGTCGTCCATATTTGCAAAGCGCCTTTGTAGATGAAGGTTATGTGCAGATTTACTGCAAAAAAAATCGTACACAAAAATCCTAAATTAGGCACATTATTGCTCTTCAGCGCACCTTTATGTACGGCCCATATGAAGTGACCTAGTTGCATGTTCTGTTCCAACACTGGGCCGAAAATGGCTTTGTACGGCGTTTGCCCTTTACACGCACGATTTCTTAAAAGGGAATGGTCAGAAGTCGAAGTGGCCAATCTATACGAGCTGCATACCATTGGATGCAGCATAAAACGGTGTATCTAAATCTGTCTTCCTCATCTGCAGTGCGCTTTTGTGGACGAAATTATAAGCCTTTGAAGGCCCCACTATTTTGCTAAGAAATTGTGCGTGTAAAGTGCAAACTTGGCCGTACAAAGCCATTCTCGGCTCAGTGTAGGACCAAAACATGCAAGTAGATTACTTCATATGACCCATACCTAGAGGTGAGCTGGAAAAGCAATAATGTGCCTAATTTCGCAATTTTTGTACGCGATTTTTTCGCATTAAAGCTGCTCATAACTTCGCCTATAAAGGCGCTCTGCAGATATGGAAGACAGATTTGAAATCAGCATTCTATGCTGCATCGAATGGTTTGCAGCTTGTATGGATTGGCCACTTTCATTTCTGACCAATCCCTTGTTAGACATAAATTACTGTCATGGAGAAATTTGCTAACGTTCATTTTCAGTTCAAAAAAGCTCACCCCTAACTGCAAATGACATCAATATCGTCAAAGCAGAGGCAGCTCAAAGCTAATGAATAGTTTTTGAACGGCCATGAGAAAAGTCATGAATTACGCTGAAAAAAATTTTCCTTTTATGGAAAGCTTGCAAGGACCGAAAATTTTTAGTTTTCTAATGAGGCTTTTTTGACTGAATTGTCGACCGCGTTCACTGTCTTTGCTAGAATTTGACAAAATCAGTTTGCAAAATAAACGAAGTCAAAATTAAAGCTCATCAGCTAGTCTATAAACATCTTATGTCTTCAAGCTGCGCTTGCTCTAAAATATTGTCAGTTTGTACGTTCCCAAAAAATAAGATAAAAATTCTCTAAATTCAAACAGGATTGGTCCTATGAAATCAGATATGACATAACCTTTAGAAGGAGGACGCTGTTTCACTAACTATCTGAGGTAATTCTCCATAAAGCTGACTGCTATTCATAATATACATTGTCAAATTTGACATTCAATGCCTTTGAGCCAACAACCTTCCATTGTGTTCTTACTTTTTATTATGTAAATCATTGCAGGATAATTTGGCGTCTCAATAATATGACCGTAGTCGATGAGATGGCAAACTGCTTGGTATTCTTCTCTGGCGCGTAAGTTCAAATTATAAATACGCTTCGAAATTCTCACACCAATATTTTGCAGAAAGAACACAGACAAACTGAGAGAAAAATTGATTAGCAATGAAAACTTCAAGAAAGTTGTGGTTGTAAGTTTGCGAGGTAAGGTACACAGGAATTTTTTTAGATGACTGTCTACAGTTTTATGCGTTTAGGCGCCAATTTGACAGAGCACGGAGGTGAAACTGTAGACGTTAGCAACGGTTATACTGAAGAGAATGTAAACATTGTGGTTGACAAGATTCTGGACATTTCACCCACTGAGCCACCCGGTACGTTCAAAATGGTAAAGTCGTTCAAGCAGCGTCCAGAGTTGCTGTCGTGACGGCGCTGTGCCAGCGCCGTGCTGGGTCCTGCGGGAGTGCCAAGAATGAATAAGTCGACGTTCCGACAGCCACTGGCGCTGTGCCAGAACGGTCGCAAGACGTTGGCACTGGCACTCTGGGCACCTTCTTGCCACATTGATAATTTCATTGATAAATTAAGCATTTTTGTGCTACAACGTTACAAAATGAGGATGTGCCAATGGCGGTTACAGGATTTCCGTCCGAGGGGGGGGGGGGGAGAGACAAAAATTTTCTTCAACGAAAGTAAACTTGGATTAGCCACGCACTTCGAAAACTTTTTTTGAGGTGTTCTCAAGATTTTTGTGAGGCTCACCTATAACACCCTAAACTTTAGGGAGGCGCGGCGGTAGTCACGTCCCCGAAAAATGGCTAAATTTTTACGAGAGAAGTCACTTCACATTTTCATAACCCATGTGGGTACATTTCAAAAATTTCAGGACCCAGTCTTGAGAGGAGGGGGAGGGCCCCGCCAATGGGGTGTGCATATTTGTTAGGAAGCTAATCATTTTCGCCTTTGGATATCTCTCGTTTGGTATAAAAATGCCAAAGCTTGTTTTTATGTTAGTAAGCAATCATAATTTTGCGCTTACATAAGGTTGAACTTGACCTTGCAAAATTTTTGTTGGGGGAACGGGGTAAAGGAAAAACAATTACCACTTCCAAGATGTGTTTTGCAAAAAAGAAACAGTAGTTCTCTATCATTTGGAAGGAAATCTATCGGAAAGGAAATCTATTCCCTCCCCCTCTTTCCCTTCTCCCCTCGAAAAAATTGGTTGACACTGTAATAACTAAAGTAGTAAAATTGATTGGTGGGTATAATTGGTATTGATGGGTATAACTTTCGAATTAAATAAACGTGCAAGGGGGTTATTCACTAGATTCTTCCCATATTAGTGTCCAATCGTAAATAGATATGCTGCATGAAATATTTTAATGCGTTTTTCCATGACCGCGGTCAACTGCGCTTTTGGCACTATTTCCAGCTCGACAATCTTTACATAACTAATTACTAATTTCTTGTCCATACTAAATAGAATTTTTCATCTAAGTTCCGTCTTTTCTTAGACCCTTAGGGGTTCTCTTTTTATGTTTGCAAGTGTTCAGAAGGTCCAAATATACAGAGTGTTTCATAAGGTGTGCGTTCTGTTTAATCGTTAGTGACTATTCACGAAATTGCAATTAGTAGCAATTTCGAGGGTTTTTGACCTTCAACATTCATGTTTTGACAGTCCTGGCAATGATCTTGCATATATCTTCAGAAACCCAGAAGTCTTTGAGCTTTTAGAACAAAAAAGCGCTGATTGACGTTCATCCGGCAATAAAAATTGCGCCTCTTGACATACACTTACTCTTTTGCTGTCTTTTGCATTTTCAGCTGCCTCGGTGAAGCTGGCTTTGAGTCAGATTAAAATATGGAGCAAATCACCGATCTCTCTTCATTATAGTGTCACGGTAGGAACACTAAAGAGAATTTAGAGCTGTTGCTGCCACGTATTGGCTCGAAAAGAAAACGAAACCAGCTTGAAACTCATACCTTGAGCTGATCGACGCTGGCTCCAATGAATGTAATTTTTACCTCAAAAGGGAAGGTACCTAACTTAGTTTGGCTTTGGGAAAGAGATACATATTAATCAGCTTCAAACTCTTATTCCAAAACGAGTTATTAACCTTTTTCTATGCAAAAAATTTTCATACTCAACGACTTACTGGCATCACGATTTCGTCATCTCAGTGCTATTTAGATTGCGTTAAGTATCTTATCAGCAAGAAAAAGTTTGATTTAATATTATTTCGTTTCTCCAGCACCTCTGTCGGGCACAATTTTTTTCTCATGTTGTATGTATGTATGTCAACTTATGTATGTCAACTTACTTATGTACTTTAGTATGTCAACTTCGCACAGTGATAAGCTATAACTCAATTCAAAATGGTGCGCCGCAGCTAGGAATAGTATACTTAGAACCAGCGTTTTGAGCTGATTCAGAATATGTATTAGCTTATTCCGGAAGCTCGTGCCGTTTTGCGGCATCCTCAAAACTCTCAGAATATTGATGGACAAACACTTTCAGCAGCGTTCGATGCAGAATTTCTTCCTCTTTTTAGTAATATTTGGTTTTTGTTCCAAGTTCTCTAATGATCACCTAAATAATCGTCAAATCTCCCACCCATTTTGACTTAACCTAATTTTCGCTAATTTTTAGAATTCTCATTCTAAAGTTTTGGAAGAGCTTTGCTAATACTTGAATAGAGTAAACAAAATGAAACACAAAGGATCTCTTAAACTGGCTTCTTAGCATTTTCGAATGATTTTTCTAAAAGTCTTCACTTTCACAAAGTCGTAAAATAAATTCAAACACTAATAAAATGTCGTAATTTGAAACTTCCAAAAATAGATTATGTTTGAACGCTAATCTTGCAAAGCATTTGAGTGATCCTCTTCTTGATATTGTGTTTTGAATTTTCCGGGTGCCTCCTGGAACGTGCTCAACCTTAAGATAAGATTGATTTCTATCCGCAGAATTCATGAACGAGAAAGGAGGAACGTTTATCAGAAGGAAAAAGCTGCATCCAATGACATTTTAGATGCCCGCCGTTTGCTGCTCTATGAGACTTGAGATAAATATAAGGTTTGGTGGCATCGAAAAAATTCTAACCATTTTGAAACACCAACTATAGATGCCAAAAAATGCATGCATTTTGTTTACTCTATCTAACCGCTATCTACCGCTATCCAAGCTTCTATAAAGTTTGAATGGAACTATAATAATTAGCTGCAGTCGGAGTAGGTATGTAAGAACCGTGAGCTGAAGCCCCCGACGATTATTCGGGCGATTGTTAAAGAAATCAGACAAAAACATCACAGCTAAAAGAAGAAGAAATCCTGCATCCATTGCTGCTAAAGGCGTTTCTCTATCTTTATCCTAATTGATTTGAGATGGGTCTGAGAAACGGCGCAAACTTTCGTACCAACCCAATATTAGGTTGGAAAGACAAGGATGTCAACTTTTCCGGGTTTTTTTCCGCTAAAATTGACATTTCTCAAAAACTAAGGCATATCCAAGGCCAGAATGAGTTTCACAGCAAAAGCTTCGAAGGTTTGTATAGAGGGCTTATTGGAGGAGCATGTACCTATGGATAACTACATGTGTCTGTCACATGCAGGAGCAAGTGAAAAGTTCGTGGGATTTTTGGGGCAAAGATCCAGCCTTTGGCATTATGAGTTGCTCCTGTGTTCTGGGTCTAGACTTCAGGTAAATCACGATTTCTGCAAATGGTTAAAGGTTATCTTGTAGACCTATTTGTTCTATCGAATGGCACCCCTCACATATTTTCTTGAATCTATCTTAGTGCTTTGCTATAAAGAACGACATTTCTCTTTCTAACCTAATACAATCAGTGCTCGGCATAAGGTGCCTTTTTCAATTTTTTAAAAACGAAGTCCCTGTAGACTTTGGCACAAAAATGCAACATCACCTATGATGCGGCATGAATGGATCAAAATGAATAACGAAAAATTATGGAACAAAGCATAAAAGCAACATCGAACAGACAAAAAAAAACTAAAGATGTTCATATTCTCCAATTGGCGGCATGCTGTGTCCTGCGCGCACCCTTGCGCGCTTGGAGCAGGCTTACCGCAGCCATACAAAATATTTGGAGGGCCGTGTATAGGCGAGAAAGAGGGGGTTTAGTGAAATTCAAAAACCCAGTTGTAGGGTTTTTGATGTAAAACAAGGTTATGTGATAAAATGTGATAAGACATGACATGTGATAAAATTATGTAGGAAAATATATGATTTTTTCTTTCCGCAGCCACCTCAGATGGCTGTCCAGGTGGCTGGGAGGCCACCTAACTCCGAAAAAAATTTGCCGCGCCTTCAATTCACATAACTTTTTCATAATTTTTTTGCACATAGTCCCAACTCCCTGTTGCCCATCTACAAACCAATTTTGATGTCCTTTCATTTTCTTTTCCCTGTAAACGAGAGTTTTGTTTATTTGGCAGGTTTGAATTCGCGCGCTTAATCGGCGAACATCTTGAAACAGGAAATTTTTGATTTTTGCACATCGATAAGGCAGAAATAACTGTTTTCGTCTTCTCTATAGAAGATGGGTGACATAAAGGCAGACGGCGATTGTGTGTGGGGAGGGGAGGGGGTTTCCGCTGCAACGATATCCCCCTTGATTTTTATTCCAAAACGATATCCAGCTTGCCCCGTACGCCACCTTTGCCGAGCCCCGAATACAATAAGCTGATACTTTGTAGAAAGAAATCATCGCATTCCGTCGAACTTCGCCGCAGTTTGATTGCATTCCCATCTCTTGCTTCAGCACCATTCCACTCAGCTCAACGAGAAACACCTTTTGATATAAGGACCTGCCGGTTGGGCACATTAGTCAATCAAATTTCAAGGACCTCTAATTTTTGCGCCTGTAGGTGTCGTTGTGCAATAATTCAGCACTCTGAGCAACCTACCGTGATAAAGAATCTGGAAAGATACTTGAAATTCAATTGTCCAAGACAGGGACTTCTACATAACAAAAGATGTTTTCTCGTCGAACTGAATTGAATGGTGCTTTTGGATTCAGAATTCATCCACTCTGATGCGAGATATGGCGAACGACCACAGTTTGGCGAACTCCGATGGAGTATGATTTTTTTCACAATATACGAGCGGTATTGTGTATGTATCTATCCAAAATGCAGAGCTAAATTAAGTGCCTTTCCGGCGCTTTCATAGGTTATTCCGGTAATTTCGGCTGTTCCTTTGATCAACAAAAATGTATTTACGCCATCCAAACAGCTTTAATCAGATGCGTGAGGATGCTGCTGTTCTCCATTTCTCGGAATTTGAAAGTTTTCGTCAAGCGGGTATCTCAGTGGTACTTATATTGGAAGTTCCTACCTACTTCTACAGTTATAGAAACGATAGATGATTCGCTTTACTGCAGATCTAAGCTGAAATTAGCCCTACAAAATGCTCTCTTAAAAGCGGCGAAAGTTATTGTTCAAAGAAAGGTGTTAATGATCACACAGCGTGCACTTCATTGGGGCAAACTATCATATACAAATATCTTTTTGCAGCTCCAAGGCATGCCGGTCCTCACTGTCTGATCGCCGGAGATATGCTGAACTTTGATAGAAGAATTGAAGAGTACGAAAAGGTAATTTTAGTTTATTTGCCCTTCGTCGTCGATACCTTAAACTCAAAGATTTCGTAATTTTGCGAAAAGAAGATTCTAACATCATTCTAGAGTACATGAATGCGGAAGTTTTCAGGAAAGTCAGTTCGTTCTGAATATCGGAGAGAAACTGCTTGACATAGAGGATGCTGCAGTTGCAATATGGTCCTACGGATATGTGGATGACAGAAGCCTGGCGGAAGCCTTAAATCGCATGACCTCCAATTCTCGAGTTTTCGAGAATGAAGTTCGCAGCAGAATGGCATACGCTGGAAACAAGAATGCACAATCGAACAAGCAGTAAGAGTCAAAGCGTGGTTAAGTTGAAGATTACCTGCTTAACTGAAAACCTAGAGTTTACTGATGCAAAGCTTAAGAGCGCAATCGCTGCCTGATTAGCCGTAGGGCGCATAAGTCGCAGGTGGTGTGAATACGCGCACACCACGTTCGCGCCCGCTTAACTAGTGCTAATTTAGGCCTTTGTACGGCGCAGCCTTTATCGCGATTGATCGCATCGTTGAGCAAGCGAAGAAGGAGACTTAGGATATCCGGGGAATGGGTTAGAAAAGAGGCTTCCATGTTATACTAGATTTGGGAACAGTGGATGGGTGAAATGTTGGAAGCATCCTCAAATAATATAGCATGACGAGCTTTGGTAACTGAGTCGCATTTCAAGCTAATTGATTATTTCACTGGTGCTCAAATTAGCTCAACAATAACAAAATTGTAGTATCAACCACTCTCTCAAGCATTTTCAATTTAGTTTGTAATTTATATGGCGTTTTTTTATGAAAAAAAACCAGTGAGTATATTTTGCACACGAAGAGACAAGGACAACTCTTCCCGTCAGTATAGTCAGTTTTCAGCTTTGATGAAAAAATTCACATAATCTTTTGCAAAGCAACTATTCCAGTAACACTTGAAAAATCTATCCCTCCGATTTATTTACAGTATATTTGGGGCTCAATTTCCGGCACTAGAGAGTTCTATGATCATTGCCGCTACAGCTTTCTGAGATTTTTTATTAACAAGATATCACTGCCTCTGTCATGAACACCTTACAACCCAAAGTGACTCAACTAACAAGAAATGTTGAAGTATAAAGAGAAACCACAAGCGACAAATCAATTTATGCTTCGATGAAAAGGAGACTAAAATCGTTTTCAAGCCACTTCAGCGGAAAAGCTTTCCCTTGTTTTAGCTTATAATTCGAAAAAAAATCGAAATAAAAAAACTCGGAATTAAAGGATTAGGAAATGAAATCTAATGCTGATGATAACTGCTTTTTGCTTAGTAAGCGCCATTTTCTTCTTTTTTTTCACCTGTGATCGTATTCGCATGAGATACTCGAAGAATATGCTGCTATTCTGGAGCGTCTAGAGTTGCCTACCTGCGCCACCGTCGTGCCAGCCCGTGCTAGCGCCGCTTCATGTTGATTGAGCGACGTTCCCCGAACATGGCGCAAGCTCAGCGCTGGCACGAAAACATGAAAGAGAATTAGATAGTTAACCGATTAATCATGTAGCAGTTGATAGTGTGGAAATGCCCAATCACATGTTCAAACATCTAGAAATTCGGTTGAAAAAAATTATTCCGCAGTTTCAGCTGTTAATATTTTTAACTAGGCCCTCACCTTTATATTTTACAGAGTGCTAGAAACTCTCAATAATATGAGTCCTACTGAGTGGGACGGAAAAGCGAACTGTTTGGTATATCTTTCTGCTCTGTGAGTTCCAGCAAACACACATGTAAAATAATATCGGCGAAGGAATAATTGCAGGAAACGTGCAAATGATTTGGAGAAGTTGATTCCAAAAGGAGATGCAGTAAAGAGAGTTGTAGTAGTAAGCTTACGAGGTAAATGCCAAAGCCCTGAGCGGTGCATCCCAGTGTATCAAATGTTTCACCTTCAAGGTTTATTTGACTCTCCTGTTTAGGTGGTGACCTCTCACCTCTTCTCGATACGCATAGAGGTGCGATGGTAATTGTCGATGCTGCTGGCGGCTACACTACTAAAAATGCAGAGGATGTGATCAAAGCGATAAGCTCAAACATTTGGAATTAAACCTCACAAATTTGATAGATTGAAACTACGGGAATAAAATTCACTGATTTTTGACTGTATTATATATAAACTACGGTTCAGCGTATTTGTTACGCTCAAAGTGTGCTGAAAGGAAAAACAATTAGGAGGCACTTCTGTATTTGTCAAAAGGCGATGCACTCAAAGAACGAGTATGCTTCTCATTGTTAACATCTTCATTTGATTTATCAAATCTGGATGCCAAAAACAATAGGATATCAACTAAACGAATCGAAAGTGCGCCGTTGGTTACAATCAAATCAACCTATTACCAAGGGAACAAAAGCTGTAGCTCGACCGATTACATACCTTGAGCTCAATGTACGAAACCGGGGGAGGTTTGGGGGGGGGGGGTTTCTAACTAACAATAAAAAATTACACATCCGAGGTGCAAGAGATTCACTCGCTGAGCAGAAATCCTGGGTGTGATGAGGAAGGCACACTCTCTGTTGTGCCTTCTGGAGATTCTCCACTGCTCCGTCCCCCTCCCTCCCGGGCTTAAACCGAGGGAGGGGAGGGGGAGGGATAAATGAGAATTCAAGACACTGGTCACTGTATACAAACTGCATTCACAAACTGCAAAGCTACAAATTTGTTTTCGCCTGTAGTCTAAGTCGTTTTCGTTCACAAACCCGCAGAGCAAGTCTAATAGATCCTAACCCATGCTCACATACACATAGTGATATTAAAAATAGAGAGAGTATGTAATACATTGTCTAAATGAGACAGTTTGAAAGGAGAAAAAATTATTCCCTATGAACTCTGTTTAGTGTGTGCTAAAGAATACGAGAATTTGTTGATAGTAGTTCGGCAACATGTTTCTGCTAACAATAAGATCCGAGAACCAATCGGGAGCCAAATACAATCAAAAAGAAGTAGTAGGGAGGTTGCGGAATAAATTATCAGATGACGGGCCATAAATCTCATAGTGACAGCGACCCGATGAGGCTGTCTTACTGGATCGGGGCTCGGCACAAGTGACTTATAAGCAAGCTGGACATCGTTTTTGGGACAAGAAGCAAAGGGGTTGTTGCTTTTGGGGGTCCGAAATTAGGTTTTTTTCAACCGACGTTTCGTTTTTTTTATCGATTCGGATGTGTCTAATAAGGGTCGAAGAGAGCTTCATAAAATTTTGCAAAATTCAGTGGAACTTTGTTTCTTGCATTTTCGGATAACCACCTCGTGCCGAGGCCTGTATTGGATGAATACTCTGGAAAGATATATGATCAACTAAGGAAAATATAGTCAAACCTCAAATAACTTTACGTTGCTTAAAGATTGCTGTCGGCATTTTTTTGCCGTCGGCATTTCTCTACCCAAGTTTGATCTTATCTCGACATATCGCTAGAGACATTTCAACAAAAGGCCACAAGTCGAAAGATTCCACCTAAGCCCACTCTGTAGCAATGGGCGGCGGAACTGTAGGTTGTCTCATAAGTTTTTCCAATTTTGAGTTTTTACCGAAATAAGTCACAATCTTCTCAAAAGTGATTGGAATGCAGGGCATCATTCGATGGAACAGAGCAAGCTTTACAAGATGGCATGTAAGTGTTCGCATCAGCTTCAGCATCAGAGTTAGAAGCCAAAACAGAACTTACGGATGCCCAAAAAATTGAATTTTTCTCTTTTTCTAAATATCTTTGTCCAAAGAAAACTTACCAGATTCTGAACTCGCTTAATATACACTCTACATACTACATTCATATATGCCGCTGCTGTGTTTGTTTCTGTGCTAGAAACGGAGAAAACTTACATTTTCAGGATTTCAGAAAAGCGATGCTGCGCTATTCTTACATAGGTACGCTACAGGCCTTCAGAGATACATCGGTAAATTTTCAGCTTCCTGAAAGCGCAAGTTTTTGAGAAACACAGGATTTAGCTCTTTTTGCTAGGCACTTTACGATGAAATCTATGTTTCCTGGTAACTAGAACTTATAGAAAGCTGAAAATTGATTGTACTGCTGAAAGCTTGTACTTCATTTACCTATGCAAGAACAGCGCAGCATCGCTTTTTTGGAAGCTTGAAAATTCTAGTTTTCTCGGTTTCCAGCAAAGAAACAATTCAACAATGACCTACAGTGACCGCCAAGAAGTTGCGGACAAGCCTCCCTCCCTTCTTCATCGCTCTTTTTCAGGGTGAAAGCAAGGATGAAAAAATATAATTGCATGAGGTGATAGAGCTCTTCAAGATCTACAATCTACACTTTGAGTTTTTTGAGAAACATGTGTTCTAAAAATTTTAAGAATCTTTTTCTAAAAAAAGTCCGGAAATAGCCGCGTCACAATGTCGCGGACAATAATTCTTCGAACGCAAAAATTTTCTATTGAGTCCTATTTTAGAGCGGAAACACAAGTTATCCGGACGGGTAAGCATACTACTATACAGAGCTCGTCAAGAACTACACACTGGTTATGGTTGCTTCCCTAAATAACGCAAGCTTGAGTTTTATTTTAGTTTTTTCAAAAAACAACTTCTAGTTTCCTTTATCAACCCAAATTTCTTCACACGGAAACCTGTTCAAGACATCCTAACAAAGCCGTCTGGATAAAATAGATGCTCTTTGCCATTCTTCATGCATCGGACGTGTGCTGGTGAGAATCTTTGCTAAAAATGGCTCTTGACAGTGCGTGCACATGACCCACCTGCACCTCACCACTGACTTGTACCGCTTTGCAGGCTTGTAACTCGGCCTGCGGTCAATACTTGAGCCTGCAATTAGGCTCATTCGAAAGAACGAGACTTACTCTACGCAATGGTATGCAGATAAGTTCAGTTTGAGCAATCTCATAGATTTGGCGGATGGGGTGGTAGAGGGCAGCTTCAGTTGTAGTCTAAGCACTTTTCAGCTAAAGTTGAAGAGAGCTTCTTTTGCTACCAATTTCATTCTGGAAGTTCAAAACTGTCAATTTTCTTGTAATAGATCCATTTCGTAGCTCTAAGACTGTTCTGGTGTTCATAAGAGCTTTCACTCCAATCACCTCTAAGGCTGCACTTTTTCACCCCATCCGCCAAATCTCTGAGATTGCTCAAACTGAACTTACCTGCATACCGTTGTGTAGAGGAAGTCTCGTTCTTTCGAATGAGCCTAATTGCAGGCTCAAGTATTGACTGCGGGCCGAGTTACAAGCCTGCAAAGCGGTACAAGTCAGTGGTGAGGTGCAGGTGGGTCATGTGCACGCACTGTCAAGAGCCATTTTCAGCAAAGAATCTCACCAGCACACGTCCGATGCATGAAGAATGGCAAAGAGCATCTATTTTATCCAGACGGCTTTGTTAGGATTTGTTTTGTTTTGTTTGTTTGTTTGTTTCTTGAACAGGTTTCCGTGTGAAGAAATTTGGCTTGATAAAGGAAACTAGAAGTTGTTTTTTGAAAAAACTAAAATAAAACTCAAGCTTGCGTTATTTAGGGAAGCAACCATAACCAGTGTGTAGTTCTTGACGAGCTCTGTATAGTAGTATGCTTACCCGTCCGGATAACTTGTGTTTCCGCTCTAAAATAGGACTCAAAAGAAAATTTTTGCGTTCGAAGAATTATTGTCCGCGACATTGTGACGCGGCTATTTTCGGACTTTTTTTAGAAAAAGATTCTTAAAATTTTTAGAACTCAAGTTTCTCAAAAAACTCAAAGTGTAGATTGTAGATCTTGAAGAGCTCTATCACCTCATGCAATTACTACATTTTCTCATCCTTGTTTTCCTTCTGAAAAAGAGCGATGAATAAGGGAGGAAGGCTTGTCCGCAACTTTTTGGCGGTCACTGTATATGGATGTATCATGTAGAGTGTATATGCGTGACTTAGTTTGGGATCTCTTTGGACAGTGAGTTTTCTTTGAACAAAGATGTAAAAAATTTCCAATTTTTCAGGCATTCGAAAGTTCTAGGTTTTTGCCTCTGATTCGTGATGTGCTGTAGCTAGTGCGAACTTTTATATTCCATCTTGTAGAGCTTGCTTTGCACTATCGAATGTTATCCTGCATTCCAGTCACTATAGAAGTTTGTGACTTGTTGCGGTAAAAATTCAAAATTGAAAAAAAACTTATGGGACAACCTAATAGGATATGTTTGGAGACATACGTCAATTTCTTGACTGAAAAAACGAGTACAGATGTTGCCAGTTATGTGGATGACCTCCCACAGAATTACGCTATTCATTATGATCAGAAGAGCAACCTTTGATTCAACTGTTTGGCTTCGGGGAGACGGGGCTTTGTGACATAATTACGACCACTCGCGCCCGCGACGCACCTGCGTCTCTCTCATGCCGGTGCTCTTTGATCACCAGCTAGCCTTAATTAGGTCAGGGAGCCCCGCCTTCCCGAAGCCAAGCCAGTTGAATCAAATGGTACATAGATGGGAGCATAAGATAGAAAACACATTTTTAGAAAAGTGGCGATCAATTTTTCAATTTTCAAAGGGACTATTGTGTCGAAGAGTTGCCCAATTGCAACGACCAAGCAGTATAGTTAAAAAGGAATACTGAAAAGAACAATACATTGCTAGTTCACAAATGAAGCAACTTTGAAAACTCAGTCAGACGCAAATTATCTATCAAACATCGTCGAAAACACAAAGAGCGTGGTAACCGCATCTGCATGAATATCAAGAAGAATCATTGATGTAAGGAAAACACCTTCGAATGGAATTGTGGAAAATCTTTAAAGATTTTGAAGAGCTTGTCACTGAACCTTTCTGAAAGCCGATTCATTTGTTCGACATAGAACTCGCAGTAGCGTAGTGTATGAATGAATGATGGTGGATAAAGAGACATGAACAGCTTGCGCAGCCAAATTTGCTTTGATTGTACAAATTTTTTCTAGTTCACAATCCATCGCAGCAAATGTCGGAAAAGACGCGGTTTTCACTTAGTTGGGCATCACCCCCTTTGCTGTCCTTATTCTTCCTCAAACCACAGACAGTGGACCAAGGCCGGTAAAAACCACGACTTCTAGTGTCAAGCTGGGTTACTGATGATTGAAGGTTTGAAATAAGAAGTGGGCAGTAATTTACAAATGTGTAAAAGGCTTTTAGAGATAGAAAGAAACCTATTTTCTATAGGTAGATAAGGA